CCTATTTGTCTATTATATATTGGGTTGGTGTAAAAATAATGGCCTATCTCTTATTGTCTATAATTAGGCATTGATAGTAGAATATTAAAGCATTTTAATATAATCATGTCTTTTTCTTATATTTCGTTTAAATCTTATATTTAACCCTATCATGTCCTTATCAATTTGTTATTTTCCGTTATTTTTTGTGATTTCAGAGTGTTCTAACAAATGCTTTCAAAACCATAGATCTGCATAATTTTGCTTTTTGAGGTCAAACTTGACACAGCGTTTCGGAAGCAGCTCGATGAGTAACAGAGGAAGAGGCCACTTCTGAACGAACTGAACGTAACTGGTTTGTATTATTCCGCTTTTGCAATACCTACCAGCCTTGAAACTAGAGAGGGTTGTGGAAAGACGTCGGAGTTTGATAGCATTTAATTAAAGTCGATAATCGAAGAAAACGCACAACTAAACAAAGATAAGGTAAACAAAAACATGCATCAAATAAGAAATCACTCTAGCATCACTTCCTAAATTGGACAGCTGTTGTTGATAGATACGAACTGATTCGGGCCTGAAAGACGGTTGTCAGTAGCGAGAAATTCCAGGAACCTGGGATAAATATGTAATAAGCGGCCGAGAATATAGGTGATGTTTGAGTAGCAGGAGGAGTGTACGGATGGTTACCCGGGTTCTACGAAGTCAGACACATCTGGCTCCAACTGCAGGAAAGACGCAGTAACAGAATGACTCGGCTGGATCCACCATAATTAGTGGGGAATCCCGCGGCTCTGTCACCGCTTTACTTTATTCTTGGTCGTCGCATTCTTGATATTTTACGCTACATACTGACACTGCAATAATAGATTGCTGTTTCTTTTGGTATTGTGTTGATGGATTGCTGTTTCTTCTGGCATTGCATTGATAGATTGCTGTTTTTTTCTGGTATTGTATTGATACATTGCTGTTTCTTCTGGTATTGTATTGATACATTAATGTTTCTTCTGGTATTGTATTGATACATTACTGTTTCTTCTGGTATTACATTGATACATTGTGGCCTCTTCAGCATTGCATTGATAGATTGCTGTTTCTTTTGTCATTGTATTGATACGATGCTGTTTCTTTTGGCATTGCATTGATACATTTCTGTTTCTTTTGGCATTGTATTGATACATTGCTGTTTCTTTTGTCATTCTATTGATACATTGCTGTTTCTTTTGTCATTGCATTGATACATTGCTGTTTCTTCTGGTATTGTATTGATACATTGCTGTTTCTTTTGGCATTGTATTGATAGATTGCTGTTTATTCTGGCATTGCATTGATACATTGCTGTTTCTTCTGGCATTGTATTGATAGATTGCTGTTTCTTCTGGTTTGTATTGATAGATTGCTGTTTCTCTTCTGGTATTGTATTGATACATTGCTGTTTCTTCGGGGTATTGTATTGATACATTGCTCTTTCTTCTGGTATTACATTTATAGATTGTTGTTTCTTCGGGGTATTGTATTGATACATTGCTGTTTCTTCTGGTATTGTATTGATACATTGCTGTTTCTTCTGGTATTGTATTGATACATTACTGTTTCTTCTGGTATTGTATTGATTCATTGCTTTTTCTTCTGGTATTACATTGATAGATTGCTGTTTCTTCAGGGTATTATATTGATACATTGCTTTTTCTTCTGGTATTACATTGATAGATTTCTGTTTCTTCTGGCATTGCATTGAGAGATTGCTGTTTCTTCTGGTATTGCATTGATACATTGCTGTTTCTTCTGGTATTGTATTGATACATTGCTGTTTCTTCTGGTATTGTATTGATACATTGCTGTTTCTTCTGGTATTGTATTGATACATTGCTGTTTCTTCTGGTATTGTATTGATACATTACTGTTTCTTCTGGTATTGTATTGATACATTGCTTTTTCTTCTGGTATTACATTGATAGATTGTTGTTTCTTCTGGTATTGTATTGATACATTGCTGTTTCTTCGGGGTATTGTATTGATACATTGCTGTTTCTTCGGGGTATTGTATTGATACATTGCTGTTTCTTCGGGGTATTGTATTGATACATTGCTTTTTCTTCTGGTATTGTATTGATACATTGCTGTTTCTTCTGGTATTGTATTGATACATTGCTGTTTCTTCGGGGTATTGTATTGATACATTGCTGTTTCTTCGGGGTATTGTATTGATACATTGCTGTTTCTTCGGGGTATTGTATTGATACATTGCTTTTTCTTCTGGTATTGTATTGATGCATTGCTGTTTCTTCTGGTATTGTATTGATACATTGCTGTTTCTTCTGGTAGTGCATTGATACATTGCTGTTTCTTCTGGTATTACATTGATACATTGCTGTTTCTTCTGGTATTACATTTATAGATTGCTGTTTCTTCTGATATTGTATTGAAACATTACTGTTTCTTCTGGTATTATATTGATAGATTGCTGTTTCTTCGGGGTATTGTATTGATACATTGCTGTTTCTTCGGGGTATTGTATTGATACATTGCTGTTTCTTCTGGTATTGTATTGATACATTGCTGTTTCTTCGGGGTATTGTATTGATACATTGCTGTTTCTTTTGGCATTGTATTGATAGATTTCTGTTTCTTCTAGTATTACATTGATAGATTGCTGTTTCTTCGGGGTATTGTATTGATACATTGTGGCCTCTTCGGCATTGCATTGATAGATTGCTGTTTCTTCGGGGTATTGTATTGATACATTGCTGTTTCTTCTGGTATTGCATTGATAGATTGCTGTTTCTTCGGGGTATTGTATTGATACATTGTGGCCTCTTCGGCATTGCATTGATAGATTGCTGTTTCTTTTGTCATTGCATTGATACTTTGCTGTTTCTTCTGGTATTACATTGATAGATATCTGTTTCTTCGGGGTATTGTATTGATACATTGTGGCCTCTTCGGCATTGCATTGATAGATTGCTGTTTCTTTTGTCATTGCATTGATACATTGCTGTTTCTTCTGGTATTGTATTGATACATTGCTGTTTCTTTTGGCATTGTATTGATAGATTGCTGTTTCTTCTGGCATTGCATTGATACATTGCTGTTTCTTCTGGCATTGTATTGATAGATTGCTGTTTCTTCTGGTTTGTATTGATAGATTGCTGTTTCTCTTCTGGTATTGTATTGATACATTGCTGTTTCTTCGGGGTATTGTATTGATACATTGCTCTTTCTTCTGGTATTACATTTATAGATTGTTGTTTCTTCGGGGTATTGTATTGATACATTGCTGTTTCTTCTGGTATTGTATTGATACATTGCTGTTTCTTCTGGTAGTACATTGATACATTGCTGTTTCCTCTGATATTGTATTGATACATTGCTGTTTCTTCTGGTATTGTATTGATACATTGCTGTTTCTTCTGGTATTACATTGATACATTGCTGTTTCTTCTGGTATTACATTGATAGATTGCTGTTTCTTCGGGGTATCGTATTGATACATTGCTGTTTCTTCGGGGTATTGTATTGATACATTGCTGTTTCTTCTGGTATTGTATTGATACATTGCTGTTTCTTCGGAGTATTGTATTGATACATTGCTCTTTCTTCTGGTATTACATTGATAGATTGCTGTTTCTTCGGGGTATTGTATTGATACATTACTGTTTCTTCGGGGTATTGTATTGATACATTGCTGTTTCTTCTGGTATTGTATTGATACATTGCTGTTTCTTCTGGTATTACATTGATACATTGCTGTTTCTTTTGGCATTGTATTGAAAGATTGCTGTTTCTTCTGGCGTTTGATTGATACATTGCTGTTTCTTCTGGCGTTTCATTGATACATTGCTGTTTCTTCTGGTATTGCATTGATACATTGCTGTTTCTTTTGGCATTGTATTGATACATTGCTGTTTCTTCTGGCATTGCATTGATACATTGCTGTTTTTTTCTGGAATTGTATTGATAGATTGCTGTTTCTTCTGGTTTATATTGATAGATTGCTGTTTCTTCTGGTATTGTATTGATACATTGCTGTTTCTTCTGGCGTTTTATTGATAGATTGCTGTTTCTTCTGGTATTTTAATGATAGATTGCTACTTCTTTTGGCATTGCATTGATATCAATACATTGCTGTTTCTTCTGTTATTGTATTTTGGGAAATTGCAGTTTTTCTGTCATTGTATTGATACATTGCTGTTTCCTTCGGCGTTGCAATGATAAATTGCTGTTTCTTTTGACATTGCATTCACACACACACACACACACATAAATGGCTCTCTCTTCTGGCATATTGTAAATATAAATCGTTGTTTCTTTTGGCATTGCATTTGTAAATTTCTATTTTTTCTTTTGGTAAGGTATTGGTAAATTACTGTTTCTTTTGACATTGACTGTTGAACTGTCAAAGCATTGACTGTTGTTGGTATACAGACGTATATATTTGCCCTGACGTTATGCCTCATACTTGCCTAAAATGCGAATACGCATATATTGGACGCTTTACTTTAAAATAAATATATACTAATAAATATTATTATCTCATGCGTAAAAACGGAAGCTTTCTAGAGAGATTTAAAAAAAAAAGGCCAAATGTGTTATTAGATTCGTGCAGAGCTAGCAAACACAGATCTACCAATTAACCACAATTTGGGCACAATGTTATTTATAAAAAAAGCCTACCTGTATTACATGGGTTTGAGCTCCATTTTGCTTTGTTGATTTTGAAAATATTTTAAATTCATCATATTGTCACGGCAGAGAAAGCAAGTATTCCAAATGTTTAAGATAATTTATTAACAAAATATATATAGAATGCAAAAACGTGATAATCATTTTACAAGTGATAATCTACAAGAGTGGTAAGAAGTAGTAATGTAGCCAAATATTCTAGTTGATAAACTAACAACATAGCATTTACAATAATATTCCAGTGACAATATCATATTTATCAAGAGAAAGAAAGAGTGTTTCTAACATTCTCAATTTTTCCAGGATCATGGAATCAGGATCAAGGATCCAGGATCAAGGGGGTCGTGGAAAGATGGTTTAAACTGTTGGTTTTCGACCAATTTGACCCGGGTTCGATTCCCGCATTAAGCACTTTTTTCTGATTTAAAAAATGCCCCAATGGCCCGCGATTTTTTGCAAAAGTCTAACCCCACCAGCGAGTGCAAGTAACCAAACGGGACTCTGACACATTTGTAAGTGCAAAGTCGAACTGCTTTTCACATGTGTAGACATGTGATGCATTTAAAATAAAAGGATTTAAAAGTGCGAATGTTTCTTTTATACATAAAACGAACTTCTACTGTCCTTACTGCGATGAAAAAATATATTGGGAGGGCTTGGCTCATCAGTGGTGAACCCTCCCAGCGGTTTCGCCAATTTAATCCACCAGACCGCTTCTCAGAGCTCTAATACTGTATTGGATCATTCTGCTTTTATATGCTACACTGAAGGATGGAATCTTAGAAATGGTTTTCAAGTAAACTATGGACATAAGCTTATAGGACAGTAGAATTACATTCAAATATTTGATTCGAGCAATGCTCTTCAGCAAACTATAAAGACAAGGCCAGTTAGGAATAAATTAACACTAAGCAATAACGCGCCATCTATACATATAAAATAAAAGGATTTAAAAGTGCGAATGTTTCTTTTATACATAAAACGAACTTCTACTGTCCTTACTGCGATGAGAAAAAATATATTGGGAGGGCTTGGCTCATCAGTGGTGAACCCTCCCAGCGGTTTCGCCAATTTAATCCACCAGACCGCTTCTCAGAGCTCTAATACTGTATTGGATCATTCTGCTTTTATATGCTACACTGAAGGATGGAATCTTAGAAATGGTTTTCAAGTAAACTATGGACATAAGCTTATAGGACAGTAGAATTACATTCAAATATTTGATTCGAGCAATGCTCTTCAGCAAACTATAAAGACAAGGCCAGTTAGGAATAAATTAACACTAAGCAATAGATGGCGCGTTATTGCTTAGTGTTAATTTATTCCTAACTGGCCTTGTCTTTATAGTTTGCTGAAGAGCATTGCTCGAATCAAATATTTGAATGTAATTCTACTGTCCTATAAGCTTATGTCCATAGTTTACTTGAAAACCATTTCTAAGATTCCATCCTTCAGTGTAGCATATAAAAGCAGAATGATCCAATACAGTATTAGAGCTCTGAGAAGCGGTCTGGTGGATTAAATTGGCGAAACCGCTGGGAGGGTTCACCACTGATGAGCCAAGCCCTCCCAATATATTTTTTCATCGCAGTAAGGACAGTAGAAGTTCGTTTTATGTATAAAAGAAACATTCGCACTTTTAAATCCTTTTATTTTATATGTATAGATGGCGCGTTATTGCTTTGTGATGCATTTACAGTAAAAGCAGTCGTCTACTTTTACCCACCATGATTATCATGGCCTGTACCATGTGTACTAGGGATAAGCAAAAAAAAAAAGGATTATGGAAAAATCCAGCGTTCATCTTCCTTGTAGTTTGAAGACACAATTTCCTTATTCGATGTGAGTGATGGATTCAAACATACCATCTGAATTAAAATTACTTCATTAACTTTAGGTCACAGAAAATCTTTTTTCAAAATCTCTATGTTTCTTTAAAAGGCGTTAAAAAAGAGTAACTATATATAGACTTTTTTGTATTATTTTGATTTCCTGATTGCATCCCCGGATGTAAGTCCCACCCAAACATTTGTTCCGGGAAAGTTCGGTAGCTATGAACTAAGCTGTTTGGTGGAATATAGGGTGGGTTGGTTTCACGAATATCTTCAATCTCTTGTATTTGGTTGGTCGACAGTCAGGAAGGTTTTACATATCTCCCCAGATAGTATATGTATTATCGTAAAGAGAGAGGCTGCCTGGCCGGAATTCATAGTTCTTCAAATTAAAGATACTTCGACCAGTAAGTCTTTTTTATTGTATACTAGACGGGTGACCCGGGCTTCGCCCCGGGATTGACCCGTGTGCATATCTACCCGAGTGATATATATTTAGATAAGATTTTTTTATAATTGTTTGTTATTAGCATTATCTATTTGTTTGCATCAGCATAATTTAATCTAATCTTTGATAGAGGGCGCTGTTCGTGAGCTAAGTAGAATAATTTGAATATATAGTTTTAATAATTGATTTATAATTTTTTTTAAATAGCCTATCGTCTTCCCCGTATTCTTTTACCTATGTATGGAAATTTTGGTTTGAATTAGTGAACTACTGCGAATTTGTATACCGGACATACAAACAAACAAACATACAAACATTGATTTTATATATATAATATGTATTGTGGATGTTGATAATCATGGTGGACTATGACTGTACTATGCTGTGTCTAAGTCCTGGGTAGTTGGTGTTCAGCGCTCCAGGAACCTGGGTTATAAATATCTCTCAATGTCCAAGCGGTGTGACTCAATGTTGAAGGAACCAGAGTCCCAGTTGAAGTGGGCGTTGAAAACATAGGTTTCGGTTTATTTTGAGAGTAAATAAAGTGAGAAACTCTTGTGAGAATTAATGCATTAGCGCGCCATCTGTTATTAGAAATTTAAACTATTTTTTACGCTTATGATTCATTTTGAAATAAAACAATTTTCTACTGCCCTTACTGCAATATACAATACATACTTGTAGTTATAAAGATTGGAAACACCCTTGTAAATTTGAAAAATAGTACAAAAGTGAATCTGTACTTGGATCAGGTGGATAAATTGAGAAAAAGGGCATTTCATGATCGTGGAACTAAAAGTTGCTGATGGCTTGCGCCATCTATCGGAATAAATATCAACTACTCGTTGATTTACAATTATTCCAGAATATAACATTTGTAAATGTCTACTGAAACTTGCTCCCATCTAGACCCTGAAGAATATCAACCCGACTGGAATACAGAAACACGCTGTGAACTGATTTCCCTAGAACTTGACCTATCTATTTATCGTTTCAAAAAGTTTACAATTTTAGTTAGATATCAATGTTTTACCGTTAGAGTTTCCGCGAGATAACGTCTACAGAAGGCCGACGTAGATCTGCGGTAGACGTAGTCTGAAGGATGACGCGGTAGTTTGCTGACATCATCTTCAATAAAGAGGACCGTCTATGCAGAATATTAAGTCGCAGCCTTTCTTGGATCGTTTACTCGGATCTCTACTCGATCCATCTCAGTATCTTTTTGTTCTAACTAGTTTGGAAAACTGTTAAAACACTTTTATTGTGCGCCTGTTCATGAAGATGGAACCTGAACAAATTCCATCTTTACAACGCTTCTACGCTTCACATAGCACTCCTTTATCAATTCAAACTAAGTGACATCTTGACTTTTTGAACAGAATTGAGAACTAAATTTTCATAGTCAAATCTGATCGATATAAACATAAGATTAAAAATACACACTTGAGACTTTCATAAACTTCGTATGATTGGCCAAAATTTGAATTTAATATGGTTGTGGCGTATAGTTATAATTCTCTTCTTTCAAATATTGCATTGCAATTTTAAAATTTTGACTGTAAAATCACGAGTCGTTATCAATAGATATTTTATAATAGATTTCCACAAGTCTACGAGCATCTTCTAGGTATCCTCTTCTTTATATTGGGTTACTTTATATCATTTAAGAGAGAGAGATTGAGATTGAAACTTCTTTATTAGAATGTTCATATAATATTATATAAGGTTAAATACAAAATTGAATAAATTTGAATAAATAAGATTAAATAAGAAAGAGAGAATATATAGCCTGTGGGGGCTGAAAGATTTCATTCCAGCCTACCGGGATGCCGCACCCCACCGCCATAAATCACCAGGACGACCGCTGCGCCAGGAGGGGACAGCGGAGGAATCCGGAGAGAGGACCAGATGTGCATTCCGGGGTGTTGTCTCCTCTTTGTCTTCCCATATAAATGTAGTTAACAAGAAACTTCAATAAAACACTAACTTTGAGAGACTTTCTGAGCCATCGCTGGACCAGTAAATCGACACACCACATTGGTGAGCCGGACGTGATTGAAAAGAAAAAGCATACGAAGATCTCAAGAGATAAAGAAATGCAAAAAGTGATTCAAGTTTGAAAAAAAGCATCATCCAGGATATCGGGATATCATCTCAAGACTAAGATAAGTTTTTATATTATCTTCCTTGTTATTTTATCTCAATATTTTTATTATTAACTTTATCTCTAAGCTGTTGTGTCGAATTTAAATTTACGTAAAATGGAAACAGAAAATAAGCCTAGCGATACCTCAGAAATATGCAAAGTTAGTGTTAAAATACCGCCTTTCTGGGTTGAAAAACCTGAAATATGGTTCTTCCAGGTAGAAGCACAGTTCAAAATAGGTGGAATTATTCAGGAAGACACTAAATTTAATTATTTGATCTCCCAATTAGAACCTAAATATATAGAAAACATTTGGGACATAATTAATAGCAAAAGCGACAACAAGTACTCTGAATGTAAATCACGACTACTTGAATTGTTCAGAGAAAGTGAAGGGGTAAGAATTAAAAAGTTAATTTCAGGTATTGAGCTCGGAGATATGAAGCCGAGCCAGTTATTACAAAAGCTCAGATCCTTCGCTACCCCAGATATCTCTGACAATTTAATAAAAACTTTATGGCTCGATAAACTGCCCACATCCATAAAGAATATACTTATTGTAAGCGAAGAGGACATTAGCAAATTGGCCATAATGGCCGATAAAATAAATGAAATAAACTCTTCCAAAGAAATATATGATGCGGAAGTGCCTTCTTCATCAACAGATCGCTTGATCGCCAAATTGGAAGATCTTGAACGGCAGGTGTCCGAATTGAGACTGGATAGATCTAGATCTCGATCCAAAAATAGGACTCAGTCAAGACCGAGAAGTAATTCTCAAAGATCTTTCGATCCAAAAGGGAAATACTGCTATTACCATTTTAGATTTGGTCCTAATTGCTTGCAAAATAAATGCAGATCTCCGTGCAGTTGGAATGAGTCGGAAAACTCCAACCGGCGGACAGAGTAGCGACAAGCTCTTCTGCCGGCATTCAGGATTGTCGCAATCTCCGATTATTTGTGACGGACAAAAACACGGGATTGC